ATCTAACATAAGAAATGCGATAAGTTATGCAATGTCAACATAAGACCTTTCGCGTAGACTAATTTCCTCCACGTCAAATCACAAGGTATCCATCAGCCCGAAGCCACAAAGGCTAAAGACTTAAGATCCTTCACCGTTCCAATGGCCTTATGTATATAAGGATCCGCACCAAAAATTCTGCATCGTTATGCAGTACACGGCCAAAGGCTACAATCCCGTCTCTCTATGTCTTCATGTACTTAGACTAATACTCAACGTACTAGCTAAGTCATGGCTTTCAAGGAAACGTCTTACCGCGATCATCATAATTTATAAGTTTTACTAACAATTAAGTTATAAGAAAACTTATAACTTTGCATCCACAATTCAACTTAGTAATTTTCACATGCTAAAACTTTTAAGTACTTAGCAAATAAATCACGCAGCAACGAACCTCACTTGTAATTTAATTAAACATACAACAAGCATCACCGAGACTCACCTTTGACTTAACGAANGATCGCGGTTCTGCCAAAGGTTTCCACGGGCGCTTGCCTTAGACTTTTACGATGATTTTGCCTTAGCCTTTGGACCGGAATCTGTTCCAAAGGTTCACGAATAACTAAGGCAAGACTTAGAATTTTCTTAAGGAAAATTTGATGGTAAAGCCTACGGATCTTACCTAACTGGGAACTGAGCTTGAAAACAGTTACGGTGGACACGAGATTGGATAGAGTAAGGCTTGGGAAATTTCTCCTTCCTTTGAAACCTAACGGAACCTAAGTTTCCACGAAAATGTCATAGAGAATGGACTGATCGATTCGGAATGATCGTAACAAACTATCGCGGCTAAGTTAAAAGTTTACAGCCAATTGGTTCGTGGTGAAGCAACATGCTATTTATAGGCGCGGGTAGGCAGGTGAAGCAGCTGGACACCCTGCGGCTACCTGCCAAGACCGTTCCACCGAGCTTTGCCCGTGTCGCGACACGCGTCTGGGATCATATCTGACCAGGCGTGTGTCCGACACACGCCAACGTGTGTTCGTCACGCTTATGCACAACTCGGGCGCAAGCCTGCCCGTGGCCTACCCACGACCGAAGCAGCTCGGTCACCAAGCAGGCTAGCTGCCCAGCTTATTCGTCAAGCTGCTTAGGCTTATACGAGGGTCATTAC